CACTCAGTATTATAGACTCTAGTTCCATTCAGGTTGCTGCGAAATTCATGATTTTGTTCTTTTTTATGGCTGCATAGTATTCCATCGTGATCTACTTAATTTTTAAATGACTAGTACAGGCCTCTCTGGGAGCATCATGGTCTAACTGCAGTTCTTGGGATTTTATCACCTGCTGCCTAGGTATAGTAACTCAAAGCATTTGCTCTATCACAGAAACAAAGAACTGAGTGCCACATTTTCTCACTTATAAGCGGACCTTGAACAATTATCATAATTCTATAAGAAAGGAATTGGCAGTACTGAGAAACTGCCAGGGGTTGGTGGGGGTGTGGTCAATTCATCAACAAGGGTATCTACGTAATGAATATTTGTATACCTAACCCTGAATTGTACCCCACATTCTTAAAATTAAAAAAAAAAAACAACTCAAAGCAAAGGCTAGTATCTAGAGATTAAGAGAAGAAAAAAAGAGGAGATGGTTAGACTTGCTGAAATTATATGATCTCACACTACTTGGATATGTCTATATCTGGGAAAGAATACCAGAGGAAGTGGGCCGAGATGTGGATAGAGTGATAAACTTCATGAGAACCCAACTCCCCTTTTTACTTATTTGGTTTTACTCTTACGCTTAAATGGGTCTGGAATGTATCTTTTTTGACCAAATATGTGCATACTTCTGTATTCTTTTCTGAGAAGTTCTTTTATATTCCTCATTGATTATATGTCCATCTTTAAGTCTAATTTGTGAAGTAGGCAATGTCTTAAAATCTGGTGTGGGTGATTTGAATACATTTATCAAGCATTTGTTATATATGCATATGTATCCCTGAATCTACAACAGCCACTTTAACATATAAAAGGCAGAGTATAACTGTGTAAACGATTTTCCTAATAAATTTTTAGGGTCAGTTTTGAAGGATTAATACTTCTGGAGAGTATTTATTCTCTCATTTTTTATTAAAGACTTATTGTATCTTCTCCTTTAATATCATCTAAAAGAAAACATTTTGTGAAAACTTGAGTTTATTGGTAAAGACTAAGTACTTACTGTATATGTCACTCTGAATATGAACATTTGGTACCAAAGATAGCTTTTTAATTTCTGAAATTTTGTCAAAATAGTTATGAAATCTGTTTCTGATTTTACCACATAGAATACTTCTTAACCAATATTATTTTCTGTGCAAAATTTTTTTTTTAGGTTTGACAAACTGACAGAACCTGTGAAATTCATAGTTAAGGCTAGCATACTTTTTAAAATCCTAAAAATTCAATTCTTAAGGAATATAGTAATATTTTAATTCTATATTGCTTTTCATGTGAAAATGTCATAAAGCAATTTACAAATTATTTTCTAATTTTTGCCCCCAATAATTCAGTTATATTTTCTATGATATTTTGTAATAGGACACAGCAAGTATCATTTTCTAGTGCTTTTAGATGAAATGTGAGGAAGGTACTACCCAAATGAAACTTTGAAAAATAAAATGACATTCTGACTTGTTTATGAAAATAATGTCTCTCAGTTATTTATTGCCATGGAACAAAGTACCTCAAATTTAATGACTTAAAACAATATATTATTTCTCATGTTTTTGTAGTTTTACTGGGCAATTCTACTCATTTTGCACACATGGCTCTCAAACAGTTACCTTTAGCTGGCATATGAGCTGGTCTGGAAAATACAAGAAAACCTTTCTCACCTATCTATGGTTTTAATGCTGAGTGTTGGCTGTGGTGCTTTGTTCTTCTCCAGCAGGGTAACCTGGACTTTCTAACAACATGAGAGCTGACTTTCTAGAGTTTTCTAAGAGGGAGAAAGCACAAACTGCCAGATTTCAGGACTAGATCTAGAGCTGGCATAGTATCAGTTTGATCATATTCTGTGTTCAAGGCAAGATACACGGCTAGCCCAGGAACAAGGAAGGTTGAATATACTCTTCATAGAATGAGTGGGTTGTGCAGACAGGAAGGGAGTGGGAATTTGTGGCAGCCAACTTTAAAGACTATCTAGCACAAATAGCTTTGTTACATAGTATTCCCTGATTTTTAAAAATTCTACCATTAGCCGGGCTCGGTGGTTTAGCCTGTAATCCCACGCCTTTGGGCGGCTGAGGTGAGTGGATTGCCTGAGCCTGCGGGTTCGAGACCTGCCCAGGCAAGTTGGCGAGACCTCATCTCTACAATAAAATAAAAAATGAGCCGGGTGTGGTAGCGCGGGCCTGTAATTCCAGCTACTTGGAAGGCTGAGGCGGAAGGATCACTGGAGCCCAGCAGGTCGAGGCTGCGGTGGCCGGGAGCGGCCACTGCACTCCAGTCTGGGTGACAGAGTGAGATTCCAACTCAAAAAATAAATAAATAAATAAATAAAATAAAAATAAAAATTCTACTATTACCTATTATTATATTATCTATTAAATTATATTACCTGTTATTCATATGACACTAACATTTTTACTATATTCCACATACTTAGAACTGCATTTGATTTTTAGTTGAAATAACAGATGTATTTGATTTTCTGTTATATCTTTGCTAGTTTCCTTTATTATTGAATGATTCAGACATTATAACTTTACATTTAGGGTAAATTATCAAAGTTATAGGCAGCAAATAATACTGAAAATGAATACAGGCATTCAGTTCTAGATTATTTATGTATATGTACCAGAGGGATATTGATCTATAGTTTTCTTTCAATGTTTTCATCTGATTTTGGTATCAGGATGATACTGGTCTCAGAATGCATGGGAAGTATTTCCTCATTTCAATTTTCAGGAAGAGTTTATGTAGAATTGGTATTATTTTTTTCTTTAAATGTTTGTAGAATAGGCTGGAGTACAGTGGCTCTTGCCTTTTGGGAGGCCAAGGCAGGAGGACCACTTGAGCCTAAGAGTTCAAGACCAAACTGGACAACAATAGTGAGCTCTTGTCTCTACAAAAAAATCAAAAAGCAAAAATTATTAAAAAAACAGAAAGTTTGTGGATTCACCAGTGAAACTATCTAGCCTGGGGTTTTCTTTGTTGAAAAAGGTTTTTTTATTTTTATTGTTGTTGTTTTTTACTACAGACTCAATTTTCTTAATAAATATCGAGCTATTCTAGTTATTTTCCTTCTTAAGTAAACTTTCAATGTTTGTGTCTTTCAAGCAATTTGTTCATTTCATCTAAAGTGTTGATTTTATTGACATAAAACAGGTTGGTCAAAAAAATAAAGACAGAAGACACGTTACCAGTATAAAAAATGACAGAGGTGACATCACTATAGATTTTACAGATACTAAAAAGGACATAAAAGAATCTGAGCAGCCAACAGGTACATGAAGAAATGTTCAACCTCACTAATCATCAAGGAGATTCAAATTAAAACCACACTGAGATGTTACCTAACTCCAGTCAAAATGACAATTATCAATAACCAAAAAATAACAGTTGCTGGAGAGGGTGTGGTGAAAAGGGAACACTTCTACACTGTTGGTGGGAGTGTAAGCTAGTGCAACCTCTGTGGAAAGCAGTGTGGCGATTCCTAAAAGCT